GCCCTGGGGATCCCCGCCCGGGGCTGCCCCGAGTGGGGTTGGCAGAGGGTAGAGGAGGGGCCCGGAGGTCGCACAGGTGGTTGGAAAGGAGCGTGGGGGAGGAGGTCCTGGAGAGCGCGCGGCAGGAGCCTGGGGGCGTGCCAACCCTCCCGCGGTGGGAACCTGCCCCTCTGCCTCTCAGTCCGGACCTTGAGCTCTGCCTGATCCATCCCGGACGCCGGAGACCCCATTCGCTGAAGGTGCTCTGGCTAGGGGCCGGGGCATCCCAGATCCTAAGCCAGTTTCGGGTCGAGCCGCCCACTTCTCCTCCCGGCAAGGCCACTGGCCACCTGCCGTCACCGCCCCCTCGCTCTCGCCTCGAAGTTGCGGGTTCTGCCCTTCCACATGGATTTTTCATGAGAGTCGGAAAGGAGTAGCTCCATGTGGAATCGCTCAACCCGCAAAAGCGTGGCTTCCGCATGGGCTGAGTGACCTTGGACAAGTCGCTTCCCTTTTCTGGGCCTCAGTTTTGGCCATCTGTGAAATGGGGCTGGAGAGACTTGAGTGGTTTCTGAGAACTGGGATTCCGAGTCCGAGGTCTCCACGTTTAGAGCCTCCCTCTACCAGCGTTATCGCCTTCCCTTTCTACCCACCTCCAGGCAGAGAGCAGGTTTGTCCTTGCAGCTCACTCCCTGGGCTAATAATAATAACTTAAAGGCAAGAAAAAGGAGAGGAGAGGAGACGGGTGTGGGTGGGGGGGCTCCAACGGAAAAGTTAATCAGAAAAGTTCGCCAGCAGCTTGCTGCCTGCTGGTTCCCTGCGCGAATCCCGGAGGAGTCGGCCCTTCAGTGGAGCTGTGGGAAGCGCGGCTGATTTCCCACCCGGGTAATTGATAGCTTAATTATCTCGGAGAGCGTTTACAAAAATGTTGTTCCCCGTAGCTCTTCCGCGCTCGCTGCCTGCTCGCTCTCCCCTCCCCTCTTGGGGGCGCGGGGCCTTATTGGTTGTCGGAGTCTGGCCAACAACAGCGCCCGTGAGGCACCAGGGGCTCGCCCAGACCCCGAGCTCTTCTTCCCCGGGTCTGTGCCTCGGCGGGATCCGCCTCGGGCACTGCAGGGTGACGGGCCTTCCAGGTGAGAACCTTTACGATCCCTGAACTTCCGAGGTTAACTCCTTGCTCGCCTGAAAAGACCCACAGAATAATCAGCGGACTAGGCTCCGCTCTCCTGGTAGCCCTGATATTGTTAAAAGTATTTTTGTGACCCACTCCCCATCCTTTCATGCTACCGCCTCTGGGGATTTGAGCGAGTGCCAGTGGTTCACCTGCCGAGCTTGAACCTAGGGGTTCGGGCCCCTGTACCCGCCCTCGCAGGCTGTAACCTGAGCATGCCGAGCGTTCCGGGAGGCGAGGCAGCGGAGCGCCCTGCAGGGTCCCCGGGGACTCCCCGCGGCGGCGCGTCTGGGGTGCGACGCACCAAACACACAGACACACACACGCATACACGCGAGCGGACACACACAGACCAGTAACTCTTCCCACGTGAACCCGTGGGGCTGCCCAGGTCCGAGAAAGGGAAGGAGGGTGGAGGTGGTGTTCCTCAGAGAGCCGCTGGACAAACCTCAGGCTCACCGCTGGCTCTTGCCACCTCCCTTTGGGGAAGGGTCTTTCTGGAGACGCAGAAGGTATCCCTTCACTACCACTTCCAATCCTGCCCTTCTCCCTTCATCCTTTAGATCTCTCTACTCCGGGGTACTCTGAGAGATGAGGGGTAGAAATCCTCCCGCTCCCCAAACGGCCATTCAAGTGAAGGGATGAGACGATCCTTGGGTATGGCCTGACTTGGCAGTGAGGACCACAGAGCGTTTCAAGTCTTCGAGGATATGGAGGACCTGGTCCAGCCACCTATATAGGTGCCCCGGGATTCCTGGAACTGACAATCTTTGCCATTTTTAACTTTGGCTTTCGAACAGAATGGGTGCCTGTGAGCCTGGGACATGCTGAGTGAGGAGCTGAGTGAGGAACTAGAAGTCTTGATTCCCCCAGGACCCATGTGTTGCTTGAGAGTCTCCTGGCAACAACCTGCACATGGAGCCTTCCCCCTCTGATGCACGGCCCCTCAGTCTGGCAGCTTGGGACCCTCTGCCCCTTGGAGACCACGGGGCTAGCCTCCTTGGCAGCGCTGAGCCCTTTGGATGCTTGCGGGGGATTGGGTTCTTGCCTCCTCCTTTTCCCCCTAGCGCCCTGGGCTGGCAGCTTTAGGCGCTCCCAACGGGGATTTGGCTAGCGAGGTAGTCACCAGATGGCTGGGTATAGCAGGAGCTGTGTAGGGAGACGTGGGATTTTTATTTGTGTTGGTCTTCGACTGTTTGTGTGTAAACACGGAGTGCACAATGAGCTCTGGGAGGGCCTAGCTGGCCGGAAATGAGAGTTGGTGGCGGCTGGGGGTTGGGGAGTGGGAGGGGTGAGGTGGGGGTGGTGGGAGGGGTGGGGTTGGGGCTGATACTATGAGTCATTTATGGCCATCTCTTTCTAGTGTCCCAAGGCAGCCCCATCCCATCCCCAGACTTTTAAACATCCTGCCTACCGTTTGTCTCTGGCGAGTTGGGCAGCTTTCACTATCAGCTTGTCAGTTCAGGGGATTTGGACGTGGCCAGTGCCACAGCTGGGCCTGCAAAGTTGGTAAATGCCAAATTCTGCCGATAGTGGGGAGTGTGAAGCCACCACTAGGGGGTGATGGTGTCCACCAAAGCCCTCTGGTCACTTTGGGTCCTGGGACCAGAATTAGTGGGGGTAAACCATCCCTGGTATTAAAGGGGGACAAACAAAAGGGAGAATTCTCAGTTTACTCAAACTCAAGTGGGGGACCTCAAGGTAATTTTGCACATACTATCTCCCATCTGCATGCACCAAGGGCACCTTCACACTTAACCCTGCCTCCCTCCATTCTGCCTCTTTTGTTTCAGTTAGCAACTATTATTGATAATGCCCATTCTGGAAGCAAGTCTCTCTCTTTTTTTTTTTTTTTTTGCAGATCCTTTCCTTTTTGTATTTCTAGTCTCCCTATGAAATTTCAGCCTACCTTAAGTAGATGAAAGTTTCCTTCAGATGTGAGCTTATCTCCAAAGTTTGTTTGCCTGGGACTCTTCTTTAGGATCTGATTATAAGTCAATGACATTGACAAAGTGAATCTCCCTGAAAGTGATCGAAGAATAGCAAATAGTTATTGAATCCTTAATGTGATGCTAAGAGCTTTCTTCCTGCCTTGTATTATTAATTCACATAACATGTATGGAGTGGGCTCTACTGTTACTCCCATTTGTCAGATGAAGTAATTTTAGAGAGGTCAAACACCTAATCCAAAGTCATACCGGGAATAAATGGCAGACCTGGAACTGGAATCCTGGTCTGCCAGACACCTACATTCTTGTAGGTTGCTAAACTGGCATTCTGAACCAAATATGAAGTTTATGCAGGTTATGGTGCTGAGTAGAGAGGGATAACAATCATCAGGATTGTTAGACAAGAACTTTTCTCCAAAGGAACTTGAGCTACCTTGGTGAACTGACCTATGTAAGTTTGAAAGTGA